TCCAACAGGCCAAAACCCCTAAACCCTAAACCCGAAACCCTTTAAGCAAAAGGTCTCCTGTGGCTCAACCCTAAACCCTAAACCCGAAACCCGAAATCCTAAACCCTAAACCCTAAACCCTAAACCCCTCAACAATATCAGTCCTCGGCGTGGCCGTGGAGCATCTGCTCCACACTCCGCCCCGCGCAGATGAAGCGGCGCACCTTGGGTTCAAGGGCTCTTTTGGCTGGGTTTAGGGGGGTTAGGGTTTAGGGTTTAGGGTTTAGGGTGTCGGTGGGTTTCGGGGCTTTAGGCTGGTAGTCGCACTTGGCGGTTTCATGGGTACTTACGAGTACTTGAAGGTTCATGGGTAGCTATAAGCAGGGTTATAAGTGGGGTAACTCGAATTATGGCCTTATTAAAGGGCACTTATAGCCCTACTTACAAATACCCATGAAAACCTAAACCCTAAACCCTTAACCCCGACGCTGCATCCCGGATCTTGTGCCTGGGGCAAAAACCTCCGGTTTAGGGCTTAGGGCTTAGGGTTTAGGGCTTAGGGCTTACTTGGAGGTTCATGGGTAGTTATAAGTAGGGGTACAAGTACCCTAAGTGAGGTTAAAAGTCTAGATACCCTACTTATAACCTTACTTATAACTTGGAGTGTTTAGGTTGAGGGTTTATGAGGGCATATAAGCTTTAGGGATTATAGGGGGCAACCAGAAGGACCCAAACCCCTGCTTCCGTGGCCTGGCTGCTGCCAAGGGGCAGCTCTCAGCGCGCATTCCATCTTATGTGCAGTTCCGAGCGAATAGAAGAGCCGGATCCTTGGGATGCAAAAAGGGGCGGGTGGTTTTGCAACACCACGGCTTTTCAAAAACCCGAAGAGCCCCATGCCCTCTTAAAGCTAAGGCATCGGACTTCTTGAACTACGAAGATGTTCTTACGACCATTAGGAGAAACCCTGTATACTTTCCACGACCCCTGAACCTGAGTAGAGTTTCGGAGGGCTGCAAAATCTACATGCTCCTCCTTGATCACTACGTAGCACGTCTCGCAACGAAATCAAAAGCCTCAAAACCAAGCAACAGTTTGAACCAACTTGCAAGCATACGTTTGACAGCAAGGTAATCCTGGGGATTCTAAAGCCTAAGCCCTAATTTCAACCCTAGCCCCTAAACCCTAAACCCACCCTCCCCTAAACCCCATCCCGGCGCCTAGGGATCCCTTGTTTGTTATCAGCAGGCACTGAGGATCCAAAGGGATCCCTCTGACCCCAGACTCTTGTCCTCGTGCTGGAAGGTTCATGGAAAGTTACAAGTAGGGTCATAGGAAGGGTAGCTATACTTGCAGCCGAACCCTTTGGCAACCGGACTCCGCAGGGTTTATAAGTAAACTTCAGACTCCCTTGAGAGAGTTCGGAGCTCACAACGATTCGGAAACCCACGCGTGCCTGACTTCCTATCACACAGGACCTGGACACTGAAGACGAATCGGACCATTTTTCCCTAGTTCTTAGCACTTGGAACCCAGGCTCTGAGCCTCTGAGCATCAGCTGGCCATGAACCCTAAACCCTAAACCCATTTTGAGGTTCTTTTGGAAACCCTAAACTCTAAACCCTAAACCCTTTTGAGGTTCTTTTGGTCTCCAAGGATGGATCCTGAACGTCTCCAAATGCGGCTAGGCGTCTCTTCCGGCAGCTTGGCTGCGTGCTCAGCCTTGCGTCTTCACTGGGGGAGGCTTGGGGGCCCTATAATCAAAACAAATGGTTATGGATTTATGAGGATCATATAGGGGAATCAGGGAAATCAGAATTAAAAAATTCTTGTTCAAACCTACCCCTGTTCAAGGTGGAGGGCATTGGGTTAAGGGTTCAGCCCTTTGGCCTCCAAAAAACTGGCCTATACTCTGTCTGAAGATCGGCTTTGGCCAACCCAACAGCCCCGGCCACCTTCCCTTAGGCACCTCCTGGTCGGAAGTAAGCTCCCAAGAAGGACTGGGGATCCCCAAAGCACAGTTCGTGCAAACTTCATTAGGCCCACCCACGACATGTAGATGCCCTGCAGGGTTGACATCCCCATCAGTCATAGGAGAAGCTGAAAACCATCAAAAACCCTTAAAGACTTCCAGCCCTAAACCCTAAACCCTAAACCCTACACCCGAAACCCTAAACCCTAAGGCTCTGTACACCTGCCCTAAGCCGCCGAAGAGCCGACCAAGAGTCTGGTGGTGCCGTGGAGCTCATGCCTCCGCTCCAGGGGTTTTTCGGGGCTCAGAGTTTCATGAGCTGCTCGGGTTCTGGGTTTTTTTGTCGGGCTTTCGTTCTTTTTTTTTAAACCCGCTGTCAGGTTTCTAGGGTGTTAGGGCTTTAGGCCTGATTTCGCGCCACCGGACAGTTTGTTGAGCTCAGACTCAGAGCATTAGCTCCACAAAGCCGAAACCCTGAACCCATCTGAGGTACCCTAAACCCTAGACCCCACTAAACCCGAAACCCTAAACTAAACCTGAAACCCAAAACCCCAAACCCTAAACCCGAATCTGCTTTCGGCGAGTTGCTGATGAGCTCTCCGAGGTCGAAAACCGGCAGCGTGTCCTGCCGAGGCCCGGCCCTCACAGATCCTCGCGCTATAACTCCTCGACTTAAGCGTGGGTTTAGGGCATATAGGGCGTTTATTTCCTAGGGCAGATAGGTCGTCTAGGGCTATGATGCCCACGGGCGGTCTTAGCATTTTCTTAAAGTACACGGTAGGGGTAGTCACCTGATAACGGCGCGGCTACCCCCTTTTTGAAGCCACGCAAAAGCCAAGCAAAGAGGAGGCAAAGGAGGCCACGCCTTCAACTGCAGCGACGCATCGAAGCTGCGCATGAGGGCCGGAACAGCAATGAACGCATGGGGGTACCTTGGTGCAGGGCTGATGCTGCAGCGCAGGGCAAATTCTAAAAAAAACGTAAGGGGCATGAAGGGCCAGTGTCTGCAGGCGTTTTTTTTGGTCCTTGGTTTGGGGGGGGGGGGGGGGGGGGGGGGGGGGGAACAAATGATCTCGCAAAAGCATGGACAAACGTCCACAGCCAAGGGTTTAAAGGTTTAAAGGGATTACAGTGCTTAGAGGGTTTATGGTTCATAGGGTTTGCTGGGGTTTAAGGCAAGGGCTTACAACCCTTGCAAACCACTTCACCCGGAAATCCGGAAATCCCTAAACCCTAAACCCTAAGCCCTAAATACACATTCCTAGGCATATGACCTGCAGGCACTGCCCGGCGACCGTGCGCATGGGAGGAGGACGAGGAGCAGCCGGGTGACTGACAGAAAATCTGCTTGGAGGTTCATGGGCAGTTATAAGTAGGGTTCTATAAGTACCCTAAATTTGGCTAGAAGCATAGCTACCCTACTTATAACCCCAGTTATATAACTACTCGCGAACCTCCAAGTAGAGAATTCTTGCCAGACTCTGCATTCGCTGCTCATGTTTTGTACATGACGCCTATCTCGAATGCCGGAAGTGGAGAACTGTAGAGAGGCGGCATGTCCTGTGTTCCAGCCCGACGGAAGTTTTTACAGGCAGGGTCCCCAAACCCGAAACACCAAACTCCTAAAACCTAAAAACCCTCATCCCTAAACCCTAAACCTTGTCTCAAGCAAAGCGCCTGTCCAGCCACATGCTGATCAGCAGGTTGTAGAAAGCCGCCTCAGGTTCGACATGTTCGACGTGCTACCTCTGCAGCAACTGTGCAGGTGGGCTTGAGGCACAGGGATTTCGGCATCATGACTCAGCACACATTGGCTTAGGGGGTTTAGAGTTTATAGGGTTTGGGGGTTGCTGCCAGGCAGGCAAGGCTATAGAAGCCTTCAAGATGGTTGGTTTCTGTCTTAGTGGGACTCTGCGGCCATATTTCTGCGAGATGCTAGCTGGAGCGACTGCCTCGAGTGTGTAGTGGAGCAGGAACAAATCCAAGCAGTTCTTTACGACAGCATGTTGGCTAACAGCACCTGAGCCGGGCACGGGCCCCTTCAAGAAAACAAGGAAGTGGCTGAATCCCAAGCCCTGATAGCCCGAGCGCAGCTAGCCCAATGCCCCTTAAAAGCCCAGCAGTTAAGAGTCCACAACAGCCTCTACAATCACGAGCCCTGCAAGCCCGGCGCTAAACCCTAAACCCTAAACTCTAAATCCTAAACCCTGAACCCTAAACCCTGAACCCTAAACTACATGCTGTACACTTAAAGCCCGCAACGCCTCCCTACTGCTGGCTTTCGAACTCCACCAATCGGACAGCGTTTTACAGACTCCCTCAACACCCTCAGGGTCCATGTACCTATGCAGTATACATGTAGGCCCTACAGCTACTAGAAAAGGAACCCCCTTCAAGGCCCAAGTTTACAGCTTAGGAACCGCCCCCCCCCCCCCCCCCCCCCCCCAAAAAAAAAAAAAATGAAAAACTATTCCTCCTTAGAAGAGTGATACAGGGATGTTGTCTTTTCTTTTTTGGGTTCTTAAGCGAATAGCACTTTATGGGTGCATGGAGCCTTTGGGACACTAAGCTGCTGCATGCAAGGCGCGCGGAAGGTCGTTGGCAGACGGGGGTCGGAGGCGCCGCACAAACAAAGGTTGTAGGAGTACCTGCATGGGGATCGCATGGGGATACATTACACATAACTATATATAAACAGTTTTCTTTACACATATATATATATATATATATGTATGCATGAATATATATATATATATATATATATGTGTGTGTGTGTGTATATATATATATATATGTAGGAAGTTGATTCCGGGGGCGAGCTTTTAGAGCTTGTCCCGCGACTTGTCTGCTTTAGCAGCTCGCAGGCGATCTTCGCCCGCTGTAGCACAAGGCGGATGTCGAGGACGCGCACGTTCTGATGATGGAAAAGGCCTACGATAAGGGGCCTCAGCAATTAGAATAGGGGATTGGGGCGGGTATTCTAGCAATAATATTCTTGTATGGTTGTAAAGGGACCATAAGGGAACACTGGTAGTAATTATTCCGACTTTGATTATCCTCGAATCCACAAAAGCACGGGAACAGCTCCCACCAGGATGGACACGAAGACGACCCAAGTTGGGAGGCTAGCTTGCTCAGATGCCATGGCAGATTCCAAGGACGCCAGCAGCTCAGAAGCTCGTAAGTTCGCGTGGCTGTGCTTTTGGATGAAGTGTAGCACCTGCTCGAAGTCAGGATCCAGCTTTCCCATGCGCCGAAGCTTCCGTCCACTTCGCTTGGCATTGGCATGCACAAAGAAATAGCCGGAGTAGCCCGCAGAGATGCTTCGAAGTACATCAGGCGGACACTCATTCTGTCCGAAGTCAAGTCTGTAAACAGTGATGTTATGTGGCAGCAGGAGAGGCGCCAGGAGATCCAGGCGTCGGCTGCGGTCAGCATGATCTCGGCGCCACTCATCGAAGCCTTCGATGAGTGCTTCGGTGCTGCTCTCCTCCACCACTTGCCGGCAACGCCGTCCGACGAGCTTCTGAACGGATCCCGGCTGAGGCTCATCCTGGTCCGGTGCTTCGCTCATCCTGGACGGGCTCAGCTCTCCGCGCAGCACCGCCTCGACAAACTCTGTCAGGAGCTGGCGTGCTGGTCCCGTCCAAAAGTCCTCGGTCTGATTCTTGGGAATTCCCAAGAAAGCAAACCTGGAGGTGTTGTATGCCGTGCTCATTGCAACGGCAAAAGCCGGGAAGTGACCCGGGACACCATGCTGCCGCCAGTCCGACGAGCCAAGGGAGGCATTGCGCACGGTGAACGCCGCCCGGCCAAAGAACCGGCCACAAAGCTGGTGCACGACGCCGCGCGCCACGCCATCGAGCTCCCCTCCCTGCAAGAACAGCTTGGCGATGGGCAAACCAAGATCCTCGTAAGGCTCGTCGTCTGCGAAATCGCGGACGTCCGCCAAGCACGGCACGGACGTGTTGAGGAGCCACAGAGGAAACTCCTCAGGAGACCCTTCGAAATGCCGCGCCTCGTCCTCCCCAGCTCGGAAGGCCAGGGCACGGCCCTGGAACCCAAAGGCGGCTGAAGGAGCCGCAATGCCAACATCCAGCTTCGTTCGTTGCAGGTGTGCAGCCTGCTTCTCTTGAGCTGTGGCCGTCGACTGAAGTACGACGAGGCTCCGATTCCGAGCTCGCTTCTCCCAAACTTCCTCGGGAGTTACCTCGAAGAACTGCGGCCGGGCGAGGAGCTCCAAGCTTCTCAAGAGAGCCGCCTCCTCGTGCCGGCCGCGAAGAAGGGCAGGCATAAGGCCTCCATGTCGAGAGAAAGCCAGATAGCGGCAGTCGCGCGGACTCTCCGGGCATCGCAGCCCTAGTCTGCGCACAAGTGGCCGGGCTGAGTGGCTCCTCAAATCCATGGCGAAGACCAGGAAGGAGGCCTCCTTTGCCCTAGAAGCTGCCAACTTCTTTGCGGCCGCCGCAAAGGTTGAATCTGCAACGCCGCACTGCACGCATGCGTGGTGTCGCGCAAGAACAGCCACGGCTTCCACCCCCGGAAGCCACATGGAACGCTCCAGATCTGTCTCAGTCGTCAGCTGAGGAAGGTACTCGGCATGCTCGTCGAAGAAGCTGTCCTCTGCTGTCTCAAGCTTGTCATCATCCCTGGACCAGTCACGATCCATGACCTGCCGGTAGATTTTGGGGTCCTGGACCAGGGCCGGCCAAGCGGCGGGAAAAATCTTCGTGAGAGTCATCAACACAGACTCGCCCCAGCGCTCCTTTCTGGAGAGCTGCTCCCATCGGCACAGGCTTGGAGCTATATCCTGGTCGAGCTCCAGGTCCAATGCGTAGACCTTGCCATTGCTGTCTGAGCACTCGAAGACAAGGTGATCTGCTGTAAAATGAACATTGATGGAACTCTGGTTCAGATTTCGTACGGCGACAGTGACGAACACTTTCTCCTTTGTCTGTCCCCATTTGAAGTGCGGCACCGCGACATCCTCCTTGCCGGCGCACAGGGCAATCCCCAGGAAAAGCACATGCGGCACCCTCCAGGCCATTGCTCCCGAATGCTGTCTGGGCTCCCAAATACCCTGAACCCTAAACCCTAAACCCTAGTGTGACTCAATCATCTGCATCGGATCTGCCTTCTCAGAACTCCTGGGCCAGTGGGATCCTTCCTGCACAAATGCTGCAAACCAAGGCTTGAGCCAACAAGTGTTGGCCAGAAGTCGCATTCAGGGTTCCCTGCCCGGGTTTGGCTTGGAGCCTTTACTAGAAGCCTTCGTGGTAAATGACAAGTAGGGCTACAAGTACCCTAAAATGGTGCGACTTTGAGATAGCGTACCCGTAACCCTACATACAAGCACCCATGAACCTTCAAGCAGGGTTTGGGATGTGAAAGAGGGATGACATTGCAGCCTTTTCGAAGCTCCCCAGCCCTCATGTATGCAAAGTCCGAATCTCCGCCATGTGCTGCAAGCGGCACCTGCCGCGCATGATCAATGAACATAAGGCCATTCTGTCTCTTCGGGTTCACCTCCCACTGAAGAAAAATCAACTGCCCCAAGACTGAAATCTCGACTAAAACTAGGATAACTATACTTTTAACTGGCTATACCCTTACTTAGGGCCCTACTTATAACGACCCAGGAACCTTCAAGTACGCATCCTCAAGCCCGTCTTAAGGCTGCGCCGGGACACTCCTCTTGCAAACTCATGATGCAATGCATCTGGCGCTCCTCAGGGCAAACGTCCCGGCAATGCTCCACTGCATCTACAAGACCTACGGGGAAGAGATACTGAGCGCCGAGACACAAAGGAGGGGAGAGAGAGAGAGAGAGAGCGGCATCTATATGTATAAACATATACACGCATGCATACAGACACACACAGAGATATACAAATATAAATATATATATATATATATACACACTTTTATGCAGACATACACACACATGAGGGGGTTGATCAAGGTGGTAAAATGCAACAGGCTAGTCGTATTGCCTACATGCACAGTCTCCAAACCATTCGCGCTTCGACGATCCTATCCATCGCAAGCAAGCCAAAGCCTACAGCTCTCTGGGCAATGTGCGTGAGGTGACGCACACTGAGTCTGGGCATGTTTAGATTGCCCTACTTGACCCCAACGAAGAACCCTTCAGCCCCAAACTCAAACAAGACCAAAACTAAACTAAACCCCAAACACCCCAACCCCCCCCCCCCTCGAAACACCCCAACCTCTTACTCCCTCCGGGTTTTGAGGCTCAGGGCCCAACATCCCTGCACCCTGTTTTGCTTAACCCTATACCCTATATTACCCTATATTACCCTATATTACCCTATATTACCCTATATTACCCTATATTACCCTATATTACCCTATATTACCCTATATTACCCTATATTACCCTATATTACCCTATATTACCCTATATTACCCTATATTACCCTATATACCCTAAACCCTCGAGGCCCCTCCTTGACCATGTCCTCCAGAAGCTGGAGCTGGGCCAGGAAGTACTTTGCAAGGGTCTTCCTGACTTCAAGGGAGTAAACGAGGGACCCTTATGAGGGACCTTAGGGTTTTAGGGGCTACATAGGTTTTTCGGGAATTTTACATTCCGCCCAAGGGCATCGCGTTTATCCGATTTGTGCGCAGAAGACCCCAAACCCTCATTGAAGCCGACAATGGGAATCCGCCTTCGATTTTGGGGAAGGCAAGTCTACAGGCACAGAAACAAGACAAGGGAGTCATAGGCCCTAAACCCTAAACCTTTAAAACCCAAACCTTAAACTTAGCCTTATAAACCCTAAACCCTACTTACAACCCCCCATGAACCTTCAGGTGCTGCCAGGCATCAGCTGCTGAAGACGCGACTGCCCAGCGGTACCCTGAGCGTCGTTGGTGTTCCACTTGGACTCCTCCAACAGAGACCTCGGCTTTCATCTTGCCCCAAACCCCTAAAGCCTAAGCCCTAAACCCTAAACCCTGCCTAAACCCCAAGCCCTAAGCCCTTAGCCCTAAACCCTAAACCCTGAGGAATCCGGGAAATTAGGGGAGTCGAACCCTGAAGTGAATGAGGACAATCCTAGTTTTCAAGCAGTGTAGAATGCCTCCTGTACATATATACATATATATATATGCATATATATATATATGCATCTATATGTATATATGTATATATGTATGTACATATGTATGTATATATGTATATATGTGTATATATATATATACACATTAATAGTACGAATAAGTAAGAATAACAATAAAGAGAGCTGTTCCGTGTCGAACCCAGGCTTTCAGGCTCAGTCTCAGGCCGCTTGCGGCGTCAGGATGGTTTAGGGTTTAGGGTTTAGGGTTTAGGGTTTAGGGTTTAGGGTTCAGCGTCGTCTTACTCTCGGGCCATGGGCGCACTGACACAGGGCTTCGATTCTCGCAACGACAGATGGTCTGGGGGGTCTACGGGCTATGATGCCGAGTGGGATCCAGCGGCAGGGGCCCTGAACGCCTCCACCCTCTTAAGCTCCTTCCTGAGAAAGAATCGCGAGTTCTGAGCTACCGGCCAAGCCCCAAAGCTCTCAGCCCTATTACTTCCCAAACACATCACACCCAACCCACCAACTCTGCACCCGAACCCCCCAAATAACCTTCTAGCCTAAACCTTGCAAAGCCCAACCAAACCCCAAACTAGCCAACCCAAACAACTCTGGAATGCTGAACTTGTGCCCCTCCTTGTGCCTACTCATGAATCTTCAAGTAGCCCTAAACGATTTTTAACCCGGGACTGCAGAGGCTCCGGCCTGAGAAGCCCTAAACGCTAAACCCTAAACCTTGAACCCCGAACCCTGCTTATAGCTACCCATGAACCTTCAAGTACAGTTCCCTGGGGGTGTCTCAGTGCAGGGCTGTTCCTGGCGCTGCATCTCCTCACTTTGCTCCCAGCACGATTTTTTGAGGGGCTTTAGGGTTTGGGTTCAGGGTTTAGGGTTTAGGGTTTAGGGTTTAGGGTTTAGGGTTTAGGGTTTAGGGTTTAGGGTTTAGGGTTTAGGGTTTAGGGTTCAGGGTTTAAGGTTTGGGTTTGGGGTTCAGGGTTCAGGGTTTAGGGTTCAGCTTTTTGGGGTGTACATGGTTTGTATCTATGATGGGGGTGTAGGGAGCAGGGCTGAGGGTTTCGTGCTTACGGCTGTTTTTTCAGGGTTGTCGGACTTATCGGTAAGTTGTGTAGTCTGGGATGACCAGACACAAGGCACTCCTTGGGGAGTGAGACGCACTATCCCACCTCCTCCGACCCGACCGCACAAGCCATTGAGAATGATTTAGGGACTTGAGGGCTTCGTCCGAGCCTGCCTTGTATCTCTACTTATGACATTACCTTTAAAGAGGTTTAGGGTTTGGGGTTTAGGGCTACTTGACGGTTCATGGGTCGCTATCAGCAGGGTTAAAAGCACCCTAAAACTAAGTGTATAGCCACTTATAGCTATAGTTACCCTACGTATACCCGCACTTCTAAGTACCCATGAAGAACCTCCAAGCAGCCCTAAACCTGTTTACATCTAGGCCTCTCGGATCCGGTTGCCGGGCAACAGCAGTAGGTCTTCTACCGGCTACTAGCTGCCCTAAACCCTAAACCCTAAACTTAAGCCCTAAACCCTAAACCCTAAACCCTAAAAAACCCTAAATGACCCTAAAGCCCAAAGCCCTGAACTGGCTGTACTGGCTCGGCGCCTCCCACGGGATGCCCGTCGCAAGCTCCTAGCATCCAGGGCACGAAACAGGTTTAGGAGGGTAGGGTTTAGGGTTTAGGGTTTAGGGTTTAGGGTTTAGGGTTTAGGGTTTAGGGTTTAGGGTTTAGGGTTTAGGGTTTAGGGTTTAGGGTTTAGGGTTTAGGGCTTAGGGTTTAGGGTTTAGGGTTTCGGAGTCAGGGTTTTAGGGTTTCAGGTGGTTCCTGTTGTGGGTTCCTGCTACACTGCGGGGCCTTAAAATGTAGGTACAGGTACGCCAATGGGAGAAAATCTGAGAGACCCAGCCTGATAGTTGCTGTAAAGTACCTGTCCTCACAACCACCCTTGGCGAGGCTCCATTTTCATAAGGATTCACTTCTTGGGCCTCTTAATCCCCGACGGTCCATGCTTTTAAGGATCGTTTAGAACTATTTGCTTAAGTACCCCCCCCCCCCAAACCTCCTTATAAGGGCAATATAGGGACTATAATCCTTTGGTTTTTGGCATGTTCTTTAGCAAAATAGCAGTTTAGAACAACCCCTCATTCTCCGAACAGGCTGAAACTTGACACATTAACAGGGTTTTCGAGTCAAGTTTTTGCTATTTTCCTGCAACAGGCTCGAGTGCGCTTGTGAGGCTTCAGGGTTCAGGGCTTGAAGTACAGCCATGAAACATGGCCCGAAACCAAACCGGCACCTAACCCCCCAACAAAGCACGCTAAACTCAAAACCTCATCGCATCGCAAGGGACGTCCCTAACTCCGAAAACCTTGAGCCTTGGGATGTTCCCCCTGATATTAACAGTCCTTACTAGGGACATTTGGTACCCCCTATTGCACTCCCTATTAAGGACTGTTAGTATAAGGGCGAACATCCCAACCTAAACCCCTCTTTGAGCCGGCGAAGTCCCCAGCTTGTGCTCCTAAGCCCTGTTCGAAAAATCAATTAAAGTCACGGAGAGGGATTACGTAGGGTAGATTCAAAGCCCGACGCCCTAAACGCTAAGCACTATACCCAAAACCCTAAATCTTAAACACCAAACCAAGTTATAGAAGTCCATGAACCTTCAAGCAAGCCTTTGAAACACAGGATACGTTCGGGTAAGTCTTGGTTGCCTCAAGCCCCCAAACCGCAAGAGTCCCCACCACCCACCCCAATACCCTTGCTTTTAACCCGGCCCTAAACCCCAAACCTAAACACTTTGACTAGGCTTTCAAACCTAAACCCTAAAACCCTAAACCCTAAAACCCCCTTGAGACAAGCTGCGCAGCACTGCTGCGGCTGGAGAACCCAGGCCAGGTTGCACAAGGAGACCTCGGAAAAGGCATCTCCGTGTG